GGAATGGTCTAATATTTCATTAATTAATACAGTTTTAAACTTATATCCACAACAGGTGATATTGGATGTATGGCATGGAGTGGGACTTGAAAAAATTCTGCCTTTTAAAGGACCAATGTTCATGAAACCTGAATGGACAGGGAAATAAACACTGAGCCATTTAGTGGTGGTGGTAGTTTTTAAGTCAGGTGAAAACCAGCGAGAACAGTTTTGTGTTGTTTTTTATGGCAATTGTCTGTTACTATGATAGCAAATAATAAATAATTATATAAATGGATTAAAATGAGTGATAGCATTGCTGGCATGTGGTTAGAAGGTTTTTGGGTTTGGTCTGAGTGTCTTTTGTGCAAAATACAATGGCATATTAAATTGTAAAACAGATTTTTAAAGTTGCCCATTAGCAACTTATGGCAATGGTTTCCTGAATGAGGCTGACCCTGCAGGGCTTGTGGCATGTAAACTAGTCTTTAAATCCTACTTGGATAGACTGTCTCTGGCTATTCCACTCTGATGCAACAGCATCTACAAAGGCACTTCTCAGAAGACTGAACAGTGGGCCTAGCAAGAGATTTCACAGATAAACAACAAACAGTTCTGAATATTTTTCAGCTAATGTGGTTGTGAATGGAGCGGAACCTGGCAGGAGAAAGGAGGAATATATCAAATATATCCCAGGAGCATTTAGAAAGTTGCTTTTTCTAAATTGGTTTACAAATGAAAATAAACATTACATAGTGTCTGAAAGAAAAGACATTTTTATTTTGCATAACAACCTAAGACCACTCATTCTTTTTCCTGGGGCAAAAAAGAGATTTATTTTTAAAGCTGTACCAGAAGGTAAGAGTAAGCAGGACCAGCAAACTGCATATCTTTTACACATATATGTAGTAAGAAGAAAGAATATATTTTTCCACCTTCTTCCAATTCCTGAGCCCAGACACAATATCTGTACACTGCTATCCAGGGAGAAAGCTGTAGTGACCATTTCAGATTATTTCTTCCTTTTATTCAGTGGAGCATAGTTATAAAATAATGCCACAGCAGTTCTTGTCCAAGCACCTCATATGCTGAGGTCTCCAGGAGCCAAAATTCGTCTGAATTGCTTAGTCCCAGCATGACCTTCCAGCTGCAGGCAAGAATTGGTGCATCTTTCCTTGAAAGAAAGAAAGAATGGGGGGGGAAGGAATCATGCCTTTCTAACATTATGCAACATTAATGCTTTTAGTAAAATGTTGGAAATAAACACATAAATAAAAAGGTGCAATCCGTGCTCCCTTGGAATACTGGGTAGCAGGGAGGTAGTATGGTATTATATGCGCCTTTTCATGTTTACCTTTATGCATATTAGATTGAGTAATTGTCATTATCACTCCATGTAAGTTCTTGTTCTCTTTATCATAGGAACATACATTTGGGGGATCATTTGTCAACATGGTTACTGTTATATTTGTATATAACATTTCCAGTGTTAGAAGACATCCTAAACAGTACAATAACAGCAAAAATTACCAAAACAAACTGTATTTACAAGGCTACTGCCAAACAGTGTGACTGCATTTAAACATTTGTGCACAAATATTATGCCTAGGTCTGGACCACTGTGCTCAACTTCCATGGTTGCTTACATCAGTTAAAGTGAGGATAAACTTTTGCTTTTCAGACAGGTCTGTATTTTACGTACGTTCTCCATTTGGTGCAAGTACCTGCTGTTTTATGACAGAAATGTGCATAAAATGAACGGGCTTGTTGGTCACATGGTCATTGGACTGCTGCTGCTCAGAATGCTATAAACACTTCTTTATGTCCATGATGAGTTTGGCTTCACAGTGAAGGCAGAAGAGGTTCTGAGATGTCAAATTCCTTAGGATCATACTTTTCAGTAGAATCTCATTCTAATAATTAAGGGAATTAGTAGCTGTCTGTCTTGGTTAATATTCCAACACATTACAAGGCTTAGAAAATGTAAGAGTTTGCAGAATAATAGCATATTACTTCAACAGGATTTTGGTGTATTTTATTAGTTAAAAATACAACCTGATATTTCAGATAGCCATGGAAAGCCAGTTTATGTGACAGCTGATACATACACTTAAGATACACTAATTGCTGGCATACAACCTGGATATTATATTCCACAGGCCTAGGAAAAAAACATCACCTGGATCCTGTGTACAAATGTCTGCAATTGCAGGAGAGTCCAGTTAGAAGATCAGTGGATCTTTGGCTTTACTGTGCTAAGAGGTTTATGGATAATTTCTTATCTGAACACAAGCACTAAAGAAAAAAGGGGATGGCAGAAGAAACATGAGGTTAAGCTATGTGAATTGAGGAGAGAGAAGATACAGTGAGGGTGACCCTGCCTGTTATGTTACACTGTTTCACATTGGAGAGCATCACATTAGTGCTATTGCTGTTAGAAGGAAAAAGGATGGGGAGGAAAACTTATCTGTGGTTTGAAATGTCATGCAGGTAGTACTCCAAAGCTGCAAACTATTGAATGTTTTGATGTATTTGGTAGGAAAGTTCAAATACTTTTAACTTCAGGATTTACCTTTTGAGCAGATCCAGCCTGAATATTTAAAATCTCACTTCTGTGAGATTTAGTAGGAACAATTGTGTCAGCAGGCTGATAAATGCTAGTCTTTTTGTTTGGTTGCTTGGGTTTTTTTAGAAGGATCTGAAGACTTAGCTTTGTTACCTGGTGCTCTGTTGGGAGGCAGTTTCTATACCTTGGATAGAGGAAAGGGTATGGTATATCATGTATGAAGAAGCTTCACTTAACTCCTTGTGCGTAGGACCTAGAGCAGACTGAAATACAATGGATTCTGTGTCAACCTGTAAAATTTGCACTGGTAAAATAGCGCTTCATGAAATATCGGGTGGAGTGTCTGGTTGTCTCTGAAAAAGTTTGACTTTTAATATTCCGCACATGGATATTTCTCTATTCTTTTCTGTCCACAAACAAGTGACCAAAATCTGGAGAGCTGACAGCCAGAAAAGTTTAGATTTAGTAAAGGTTTGTTACATTCTTGCAAGCACAGGACAGTTTGCATGTGGGGAATGCACAGGCACATTGTCCTCTCTTGGATTTCCTGCTTTATTCCTTCCAGGACTTCACAACTTCTGCTCAAGCAGAGCTGCTTGTGCTCTACAGGGTTTTATTCCAGGGGAACTCAGGTGGTGTTCTCCTGCTGTGGTCTCCTTATGACTTCCCTAGCAATCTGAATTTTTGTTTGTGCTCAAAAAATTCCTGTGCTTCCCTTAGCCCAACCTTCGTTCCCAGTCCATGCTGGAACTGCTCACTTGTGAATACACTTGCTATTGGAATATTTCAAGGGGCAGGGAATTTGCCTTATCTTTTTCCTGCAGATATGCAGTTCTCCAGAGATGTCTCTTGAACCCCTACAGGCTTAAACCTCAGAGCTTTCTGATAGATTAAAACTCACTCTGTTTTCAGTGAAAGATGTTATAAAATGTCATAAAATTAAATTTCTCTGCTGCAGGGGCAGAGAAACTTCCTCAACCAGGTTGGATAATTCTTACTAGTAAGACCTAGAAACACCACCTCTTGGCTTTTTTTTCTTAATAGGAATGCTAGTATTTTTCACCATGTGTGTTTTAGATATACCATCTATGGAGAGCAGCAATGTGTTTATCATCAACAGTAAAAATACTGACCTGGAAAGGACTTTTTTTAAAAAAAAAAAAAACAAACATATGCATTGATATGGATATAAGGAAAACAAAAAGCCCACAGCTGCTCCGCCTGCAGGGCTTTTCTGAATAGCAGAATGGATCAAAGGATGTTTTTATTTCCTTGTGAAGAGGAAAAATTCATCACTTTATAAATCACAGCAAAAACAAATCAAATCAATACCAGCAGCTTTTTAATAATAATGCATTTCTTATGGCTATCCTCACTATAGGTCTCAGCAGTGGGTGCTGCACACAGCTAAAAAGAGTAAACTAAAACCTGTCTCTGACACTGGTTTTCATTTAGCATTAAGGAATTAACTGGAGTACCAGACTGTAACATCCCAAACACTGATGTGTTTAAAATCTGAGAGCTAAATCTGTATTTTATAGCTTGAGTTCATCTGAACTGTGAAGTGATATTATAAAATAAATTTTTCCTTTCTTCAGAATTCAATAACATGTTGGGTAGTTTTATTTTTTTCATCTGTTGTGTGTAGACCACTGCGATTTGAACACCTTTTTTGGTTGATGAATAAAGGAGAAGCTCTCTCTCACCTTATGTGGAATGTGTTGGCTTCTGTCCTGATGCATGTTACTGTAGGATGCAGTCATTTATTTTAACTGTGTTGAGACACTTTCAAAGCCATTATATGATCTTATTACAAGCCAGCAAATGTGTACTGTATATCAAGGGATGAAAGTTAATGCTGAGATCACTAAATAACACTTTATTTAAATACAGCTTTAAAAAATCCCGGCTTGTGAATTTTGTGATTAGAAGTAGATCATCTATTAACAAGTCAGTGCATAGCTAGGGAATGGATCCAAGTCCTTCCTAAACTGGAGAAGTGTTGGCTGAGTACAACAGTGAGCAGTAAACAGGGTATAAAAAGCTATGAATATCAGAGAAAAGGATTAAGAAGAAGAGAAAGTTTTGTATTACCTCAGAAATAACTGAGTCATGCAGTTGCTTGGTGCAGGCATAAAGTTATTAGCAAGGGAAAAAACACATCACAATATTTTATTGTCCCTTCTTTAGGTGTTAGGCCTCTAAGACTAAAACCAAATATATATGTATATGGGTATTTCTTTGTTTTCACTTTTCCTTCCTAGCATTTCACATCTAGATGAAGTACAACAGAGAAATCAATTTCTTAATTATTAATAGTAATTAATATTGTGAATTAATGTTGCGCTGCCACTACATTGACCCTTTCTTATACATACATTGCATTGTTCAGAAATTCAAGGATACTACCAGTGTTTTCACTTGAAGTGTTACATTTTCTTTTCTTTTTTTTCAGGTCGACTTTGAACAACTTCAGGAAAACTTGTGTCAGATGGAAAGACGGTGCAAAGCATCATGGGATCACCTTAAGGCCATAGCAAAGCATGAAATGAAGCCAACTCTAAAACAAAAAATGTCCGAGTTTCTTAAAGACTGTGCAGAAAGAATCATAATCCTGAAAATTGTTCATAGAAGAATAATTAACAGGTACAGAATTAGATTGGTGGTGGCAATATCTTGATAATAAATCACTTGCTAAAATAATAAATTATTACATCATAAATATGTTTTTTATAAGTGTTTAATCTGCATTCCAGCAAGTGATGTTACTAGGATGTATGTGGTGCATACTTTGTTACAGATGCCCTTTAAGAAAGATTCTTCACTCCAAAAAGTTTCTGTATTTCTGATTAAAAGAAGCAATGTTCCAGGCAAGTGTTTATTCCCAAGGTGCAGTAACTGGGTCTTTTAACTCCTAGTCCCCAAAAGCTAGAAGCTTTATGGTTAAGTTGCTGTATTTTCTGTCCTTCCCTGGGTACCTTTGAGGGGGCTTGGCTTAGTGTCTGATAAACAAGAACAGGCTGTAGGAAAAAAATGAAGTTCTAATGACAAATCTGCCATATGCAGAAGTTGAAATGAGTCTCATGCAATGAGTTCTTCTATAAGCAGCACCATTCCTATCTGCAAGATGTACGACTCTGTGTTTTATGCAGAAGACAGAATTATGACTACCTGTCCTTAGGGCTTCCTGTTGAGTTTAGTTTCATCCAGTGGAGTTAATATTTGCAGTGCTTTGAAATATACATATTCATGATAATTCTGCAATCCTGGCTTGCATCAGCGATAGCGTGGCCAGCAGGGACAGGGAAGGGATCTGACCCCTGTACTCGGCACTGGTGAGGCCGCCTCTCGATTCCTGTGTTCAGTTTTGGGCCCCTCACTCCAAAAAGGACATTGAATGACTCGAGCGTGTCCAGAGAAGGGCAACAAAGCAGGTGCAGGGTCTGGAGCACAGGTCGTACGGGGAGCAGCTGAGGGAACTGGGGGTGTTTAGTCTGGAGAAGAGGAGGCTGAGGGGAGACCTCATCGCCCTCTGCAGCTACCTGAAAGGAGTGTGCAGAGAGCTGGAGATGAGTCTCTGTAACCAAGTAATAAGTGATAGGACAAGAGGGAATGAATCACAGAATTATCTAGGTTGGAAAGGACCCTGAGATCATCTGGTCCAACCATTCACCTAGCACAGTTCCCACCTACAGTGTATCCTTAAGCTCTAAATTGACCCAACTCTTGAACACCTCCAGGGATGGGGACTCCACCACCTCCCTGGGCAATACATTCCAACGCCTAACAACCCATTCTGTAAAGAAATATTCCTAATATCTAGTCTGAACTTTCCCTGTCGCAATTTAAGGCCATTCCCTCTTGTCCTGTCACTTTCTACTTGGCCTCAGATTGCACCAGAGAAGGTTTAGACTAGATGTCAGGAATCATTTCTTCACAGAACGGATTGTTGGGCGTTGGAATGGGCTGCCCAGGGCAGTGGTGGAGTCCCCATCCCTGGAGGTGTTTGTCAGGTTGACATAGTGCTGAGGGATATGGTGTAGTTGGGATCTGTCAGTGCTAAGTGAATGTTTCAAGGTCTTTTCCAACCTAGACAATTCTGTTACTCTGTGATATACGTGAGCTTTTTTTTTTAGATTCACACATGTAGCTTAAATCATCTGAGTAATTTGTGTTCATGCTTATTAATGAAATTTTGAGAGATTTGCCAACTTTCAAATAATTTTCAAATTGCTGTGGTCAGAATTAGGATCCAGATTCCAAACGACCCAAAATTTGTGGATGTACACTTGAGAAGTTGATTCGCCTCTTTTTTTTGTTTTCATAATGACTTGGTTTTCATTCCATAAGTAAGCATAAATTTCAGTTGCGGTGGAAGGGAACTGAATTCACCAGTTTCCTATTGTGTTTATCTGTGCATTGTACAAATAAAAAAAATAGTATTTTTTTTTCCTATTATATCCTGCAGCTAGTACTGCAGTTCTCCAAAAATGTATCCATATACTTGCATCTTTCTAGGATCGGAAAGACTTTTTATCATCAGGGATGTAGATGCATTTAAAAGGAATTCCCATACATTTTTAATCATTCAGTGTGCTTTTATAAATCATGCAATATAGAAGCAATAGTAAAAGCTGCAAATAGTGTGAAAGCCCTGAATGCCACAGAAGCAGTAAAACTGTGAATTGAGAGTATCCAAACTAAAGTACTACGTAGATAATATAATATTATGGTCAGTTTTGTGAACCAGAAATTCTTTCCTTCTTCTGTTTGCTAGCCTGTAAATCAGTATTCTTCTTGTCTAGACTTTCCCCAACATCCTAACAGCCTCTTTGAAGTTGCTTAATACAAATAAATAGAATTAAAACTTAATAAATATTTTTTCTCTAACTGAAATGAAAATGGTCATTCACATGCCAAATTAGTCATATAAAAAAGTAGTTGGAGTTCCATAAACATCTTATCTCCTGCATCAGCCTGGGAAAGTAGACTAGGATGAAGTTATCATAGACTAGACTTTCATGGTTTTAATTATAAAACATGCCAATGTTATGCAAAGCATCCATGAAAATTCTGTAGCACAAAAGAAATTATGGGAGCTAATAAAGTAATAAATGGATTCACTAAAATGTGGGGGTTTTTTTCCTAGAAAGCAGCAATACAGATTTTTTTCCCTCTACATTTATGAACTCATTGTTTTCCAGATTTCACTCATTTTTGTTATTTATGGGCCATCCTCCCTACGCAATACGTGAAGTCAACATCAATAAGTTCTGCAAAATTATTAGCGAATTTGCTCTGGAATACCGCACCACCAGGGAACGAGTTTTGCAGCAAAAACAGAAACGAGCTAACCACAGGGAAAGAAACAAGACCAGAGGGAAAATGATAACAGATGTAAGTGGCAAAGTGTATCTCCTACAGCATGGATTTTAAATATTTTCTTTCACTGAATGTTATATATGAAGTGCTGCTACTCTTTTGTTATTCCTAAGAGATTCTTCTACTGTTAGTAATTAACTCTGTTTTCTTAGAAGACAAACCTTGCAAATCCTTGATTATGTATATTTTGCTTCATACCAATGTATAGAATGAGAGAAAACTGAAATTAAGCATGCAAAGAGAGCATCTCTGTGTGTTACACAGACAGTGCCCAAAATAATCTGGCAGACACGAGGAGCTGTGTGTACCTGATCAGCCAAGAATATGAAAAAGGAAAAAAACCTGGAAAAGAGGCTTCTAATTCAGGACATGATTTAAATGATGAACATTGATTCCATTTAAGTGGTTACAACCAAATTTAACCATTTTTTTCCTCTATCTTTGAATATTCTAATGTAGTCATCGATCTTAGTATTTTATCTGTTTTTAGGTATACATATATATGCGTGCACATGCACAGCAATTTTGTTCTTAACTTTAAAGCAAAAAACAGACAATTTTACAGGAACAGACTACTTTGAGGTTCTGAAGAAGCAGACAAATTTGTGTTCACAGTAGACGTTACCCTGTAAACTTTTTGACTGTGATTGCATACTGATAGAATAAATTAAAATAAGATTAGTTTTCTCAGCATAGTAAGCTTTAGAATACCCTTGATTTTTTTAATCTTTTTTGTTGATGTAGTTGACTCAATCCAAATAAAGTTTTAAGAAGTGCCAGTACTTAATAAAAGTTTCCAGCTGTCTCAAAATCCAAATCTGGAGTCTCGATTAGATGCAAGTGGTTCATTGCATATGAAGCTATCCCTGCCTTTGGCATGAAAACACCTAAGCTGATTACAGTTTTATGGCTCAGGCAATATGGGTCAAAATATATATATATAAATGTATTGAGACAGATACAAATTGAGATTGTATTTAAGTCATTGACTCATGATTATTTGTAGATCTTTCCTGGCAATAACCTCTTTAAATCTGGAAATCTGCCTCATCTAGAGAAAATTATAAACCTGTATTATTATCTCAAAAGGTTTTCCTTTTGGTCTAGCCTCAGCTTAAGGAGGAGGCTCTGATTCTATGTGAAGGGTGTAATACACACATAAAGTTTTTCAACACTACTACTGGGGAACTGATATCAGTTTACTAGTTTAAACAATGCTGAGACGTGGAGTTACTCTTTTCCTACTATATGATGTAGTATTTCTGTATTATCTGTCCAGAAGAACTGGCAGTGGCAGGACAGAAAGCTTCTCAATGTCCTGTTCCTGCAGGAAACATGAGGAGAAAAGCAAATCTGATCACTGGCAGCTGGGTTCAGGAAGCAGAGAGAAGGGACCCTTTCAAACCAGAAGAATGCTCAGGGTTGACAGCTAGTCAGTGAGGAACAGAAACAAGGACAGTGACCGTTTTCTGAAAATGTGAAAAAGGAGGCAGATAGGCCTTTCCCAGAAAAAATGTGTTATTGGAAGATGTCTTGTTCAGCTCAAGATAGTGTTGAGATTTCACAAGACTCAAATGCCATCTGACAGCTAGTGTTCCACCTGAAAATCTCTTGGAGGTCCCTAGAAAGGGAGCATTTTTTGCCTATCACTAATTTGCAATTATATAATGATCCTATTAGCTTAAAAACAAAAAGCCTGATGGTGTACAAAACCACATTCTTTAAAATTCCCCTTATAGAGATGTTCTTTAAGGGAGTTATTCATATGGCCGTATGATTGTTTCAGGACTTACTCAATCTCTTTATCTGTAGCCCAGTAATATGGCCTTATTTACCATTCATTTGACTTCATTACATGGTAAAACAGAATTAAAGTTGCATCAGACTATTTGTCACAGCTTTATTGACAACTTCAAAGTCAGATCTACCTCAAAACAAGTTTCCAAGTCAGCAGGATAAAAGGTATTTATGTGTGAAGAATGATGAAAAAGGGGAGTTTTATTGTAGTCTTGTGTTGGCTGTGGTTTGTATCTGGTCTTGATTTTCTTAGTGGTTTATGTTTGAAGGCATTGGAAAGGGAAGATCTGTCAGTAATGCATTGACAGTATGTTCAACTAGTTACAAAACGCTGATAGAAGAAAGTTTAGATCTTGACATTAGAAAGAAACTCTTTGTAGAAAGTAATAAGTAGTAGTCATGTGGAATTTTAATTTCTGGATTTGTTAACCTAGAAGGATTTTGTGGTTATTTGATATTTACCTCCCTGTCCTTTTGAGAGGTTCATCAGGATCTCATTTTTATCACTTCACAGGACAGAGGGGGGATTCTAGCAAAAATGGGAAAGGAATAAGCCAGAACCATCCCAGTTCTTAACAAGAAGGCACGTATCTCTTAAACCTTGTTTCCCCCCCTGCAGACTTGGAAGGCAGAGGGGGTGCTGGCTCTTTGCGTGGAGAGTCTGCTGGCTCTTTGCGTGGAGAACTTGCATCAGCTTTAGCAACTGCTCACATGGAGTAGGGCAGAGAAACACGATGGGGAATATTTCCAGTGTTTCTTTCAGCCTTTTACCCCAGAGATCTTTATATGTTCTTTAATAGCTGAAGTGGACTGGGCACTGTCAGTTTAAATCTTGGTGAATGTTGTCTGCAAGAGAGAGAAAGAGGGAGGGAGTAAGGAAAAAAAAGAACAGTGAGTTGCCACAGTTTCACAGGGAAAATTGCCTGGTCTCTGTAACCTTATATCTGCCTTTAGCCAATGACAGCACTCATTTCAGGCACACTAAAAGTAATAAGCAAGCAAAATATGGAAGAAATGCAATTATAGATACAAGTCTGAGCTTTTAAATTATTTTTAATAATAGTAGGTAATATAAGCATCTGTCTCCCAGATTTATGAAGCTCTAATCTTTATGATACTTAGGAGTTTCAATTCCAAAATTGCTATGTAATAGAAATAATATTTTGAAATGGCAAATTCACCACATAGAAATGCTAGTCTAAAGGAAAAATGGGAGGGAGGGAAGGAGGTAGATCTCAGGTTGTCCTGCAACATCCAAAATTGGATGACAGAAGACTCAAGCAGCTTTTTTTCTTAAAATTTACATCTTATGCCTGCAAGAGGTATTCAGTATAGCAATATTCTTTAAGTGCTTTATGGTAATATTGCATGTTAAAAATTTCCTAATTTATTAATATTTCTCAGAGTATTTATAATAATGAAATTAAGAAGAAAATAAAATGCATAATATACACACCTGATGGGAGCAGATTCCCTTGTGAAACAAAAGTTTGGTTTATTTATTTTGCTACTTTGATTCCTGTTGTTAGTATTTGCTGGGGGCAAATGGCTCTCCAGACATGGAAACATGATGGGGATGGTGAACTGCTCCTCCTGTGCACTGGTGTAGCTTTGGGTGTAGAAGGACAGTGGTTCTAGGTGTGAGCCCTCTCCACCCAGAGCAGGAGGACGGGAAATGGTAATAATGCCTTGGCTACTGGAGATGAGCAAAGTCAAACAGAGAGGAGTACATTGCTCTTAAATTAAGTCCACAGCAAATCACTTTTAGCTAGATTAAATGAGCATGAAGGCCAGCACCTGGGACTTCCCTGTAAAAATCTAGCTTGCTATAGTAATGTAATACACTTTTGTTTGGAACACACTCTTTGCAACGTGTGTACTCCATTATTTCGCCTTTCCCTCCGTGTCTTTTGCATATTATTTAGTTTAATTTGCTCTCCTCCTGCCTTTTACTTATTAGATAGGTGTAACTGTGGATTAGAATGCAAGTATGTTCTTGGTTCCCATTCTTCTCCTTTTTGTTTCTTATTCATGCCAAAAAGTGAATAGTGGCCTTCTTCAGAAGAATTACTTTATCGTGACTCCCTGCCCTCTGGGGGATGGAAAAAACCAAATGGATCTTTTTAATGTAAAGGGAACATATCTGCCAAGGTCCCTCTGCAAAACATTTGCCTGTGTTTCTGTTAGTGCCACTGTGTCCAAAGAAAAATAAGCATCTCACTCTTTGAATAAAACATACCCTTAAAAAGTAATGTTAATGTGCTGCTCAGCACTCTCACAACTAATCTTCTTATGGAGATTGTGCTGAAACTAAACTGAGGGCCAAAGTAAATCAGGCTTTCATTTTTCATGATGAATGTTTCTGGAACAGAATGTATCAATCCCAGGCAGAAATCATAGCTGAGATGGAGATAAGGTCAAAAGTATGTATTAGTAACACTACGAAGGAGAATAGAATTGATGGAATGCTTCTTCTAAAAAATAAAACAAAACCCACAAATTAAAAAAAAAATCGTTGAATTTCTGGGCTATGTTTGCACTTTATAAGCAATCAAACTGAAAATTATGAAAACAAGGAGCCCAGATATTTGAGAAATTCTGTTTTACTTTGGGAACCTTCCATGCTGGACATCTTACAACCCAATGAAGAATTCCCCAGGCACAGCTCTGAATAGTTTGCTAATTCCCTGTAATTCCCCAAATTTAAGAACACTCATATGCCACAATATTTTGATATGTCCATTGCATTTAATGTAGTGTAACTGTCAAGATAGTTTTACGTGCCTGATGTCACAGAGGGTGAAAACCCTGAATGACAAAGGATAATTGCATCTCTCTAATTTCCAGGATCTGATATCGGGCAGCTACCGAAGAACTTTAAGCATTTATTCAAAGACTACTCCACATATGATTTGAGTGCTCTGTTAAATTGGAAGTTGAAAAGCCACAGCTTGAAAAAGGAATTAAAACAAGCACTTAAGTGTAGAGAAAAGGAATTGCCAAGAAGCTGACCTCTGCACTGTGAGAAAGAGCAGCCAGGACCTCCCTGTGCTGAACAGAGATGGAAAAAGGAGAGGGAGTCCTTTCTAGTGCTCTCAGTTTCCATGGGGCAAAAAGCGGGCAAGCAACTGCATGACTCAAGGGAGAGAAATAGGATGAGTTAGGGGTAGTTTCAGTTCATAATTGCTCTAAGAAAAATCAGGACTTTTTTATATACCCTAGTGACAGTGACTGTCTGTTCTACATACAATTAACTAAAAAAAAAAATAAGGAAGCCGATTGTCTAAGCAATTAATTCCTTATACGCTTTGTATTTTGGTGTCCTCCTATAATTGCATAAACAGTACCATGGTTACCTCTTACTCTGCCGTGGTTTGACCATATACTGTCTTCCTAAATCTTGCTGTTTGTCCTTCTCCACCCTGTCCTTTGTTTCCAGTGGCAGACCGATGAAGAAGAGGATGCTGAGGTATGGTTCTCTGAAAGAGCATGTCATTCCTCCTTGTGTGCTGTGACATCTAATTTCTAACTCAGATAGTATGGACTTCTCAAATCCATCTGCTCAACCGGAACTATGAACCATGACATTTCTCTCATAGCTTTTTGGCTCAATCATAAGAATGCATTTCTACAGTCAGCTTTAACCATATGCATACCTGCTCTCTTGAATAAGGATATCCTGATCTGAGGCCTTAATAATTTTGTTTCCTCTTTTCTTTTCCTTAATGTCTATTTACTAAACTGCGAAGTATCCCCATTATCCAAAAACATCAGTGATCTGAATGTTATGGGGATCATCCTTTACCTTGGGCTACAGACTACCATGATTTCATACTCATTATTAAGCTGTGTAAGTCCATATGGTATTATTTTATATAGTGTTCAAAAGCATCAGGATATAGGGATGCAAAGCAAATTTTAATGGTTCTCCTTGCTATGAATTGTGAATAAGATTCTTCAGTCACTGTGGAGGTGAGCCATGGAATAATTCATGTATTTATCATAAAGTACTCCTGAAGGTGATGTTGAAAATGATTGAAGTAGTAAATAAATAATTTAAGAACTATAATGTGCTAGCTATATTCATAATAAAACAATTTATGGTTTGAGGAGCATCTGTCATGCAGTGCATTTTTTGTTCAGCATTAGATCTTTCTTTAATTTGCTGAACAGAAACAATATGACTTAATTCTCAGTCATTTACTCAAGAGGCTGGGGTTTGGCCATTAATCTACAGCAACATATGAAAATTAAAGAACTGAAAACTTCTGTCTATAGAGCTTCTCCCTCAGTGATGATTTATGTTGTATAGCTTGGGGTGCAGAAAGAAAATATGAATTAGCTTGTTTATGCCAACATTTAACTAACCTGTTTGAACAGTAACTAACAGTTATGTGAAGGCTTTATCCTTTGGGTTTTTGTCTGAGGTGGTATTGATTAGCTTCACAAACCATTGTGTATAAGAGAGTATTAGTATTCTTAATGCAAAAATGGCATGGACTTTCATAGAAGTTTCTCTCTAATTTTTTTTTGCTTTTAATTTCACATGTGAAACTCAGGCACTTGCATACTTAACACATCAGATTGTTGCAAGCTAATGTTTTAACAAGAAAACAAACTTCTCACTATTAAAAATAAATCTCATACTGGTATATTTAGCTAAGTGCCTTGTAGGGAGTATTGTTTTGCTGCTCAGTTAACTTGCTATCTTACCCTGAAAAGTCATCATGTTAAAATAGAATCATCCTGTCATTGATTTCCAGATTAAATATTTTCAATTTGCAGTCTTGACAGCCCCGGGGACTCAATCAAAGCTCTGAAAGTAGGGCCCCGTCTTTTCTTCCTATTTGCTGTTCTCTGACAAAAAGACTCTGCAGGTTTGCATCCCTTTAACTGACCAGCTCAATACCTTCAAGTGAATAATTAATGTTGTTTATTATGCAAAGGAAGAAGATAATTCAGCACACCTTCTTTCATCTGTGTTCAATTGATCAGAGTAAGAAAGGTTAAAAGGAAAAATAAAACATATTTCCATTTCTGATGCTGGACTGATACAACTGAGAATACTGAGGGGTAATATTATCTGTTGATGCCTGTTTGCTGTTGACCGAGCTAGTATTTTCTGCAGCCAGGACTGTATTTTAAATGTGTTTCAGGCTTTCTCTAGATAAGAGCAATGGAGCAAATACCAACATCACAGCCCTTTGTAGGCAGAGGCTGGAAAGGGAGAACAGCCCTGCAATGCAGGCTCCTCTTCTCCTCCTTAGAAAGTATTCATTTCTGCTGTTTTCATCCATTTCTAGATGACTGTTTTCAGTAACTGTTGGAGCTGCAGCATCCACACACTATGCTTACCCAGCTAATGTAGCTGCTGTTGTTCATGTAGTCGTGGTGACAGGGAAATCACAGGGGGGGCTGGGGAAGCAGAGGGCAGATTCCTAAACCTCTTGTAAGGTTTTGTTTGTTCTTCTAACTGCTGACTGCAACTTTTGTGTTTTGACCGTGAAATAATTTGGCTGGGTGTTTTGGAACCGGGGATTTTTTCAGCATTAGTGGTACGGTGTTTTAGGGTTACTTGTAGGTATTTGTGTTTTCGAGCAGTTTGAGAATTTTCTGTGCAGCAATGCAGAGAGGCAAGAGGGAAAGGTCTCTCTTCCTAGATGTCTCTCCCCATTTTGCTTTGTTAATGAAAGATGATTGTACAGAAAAGAAGCAATTTCTTATTTGTGTCAGGTCTCGTGCTGTTCCCCTTGCTGTTGTACCTGACCCCAGATCAGGCCCAGCCTGGGTCGAAAGTTTCAATGCAAGTCTTTGCTTTGTACTTTATACTCTCAGACAGGAGGTCAAAATTACAAAGCTTGAGCTAATGCATCTGGTTTTCCTCTGGTTGTGTCTGCTCCCTACTGTCACCCTCTTTCCAGTTTATTTCTGCTCACAGTGCATGATCTGGGAGAGGGGCAACTGTTGCCTGGCTCTTTTGGGAATAGTTGCACTCCAAACCAAGCCCAGGAGGACACCTTTCTCCTTGCAATTTGCAGTCAAGACTCTGGCCTATTCTCCATGTTGTTTCCTGTTGAAAGAACAAATCTGTTTTCCTCCTACAGTCTGGCAAGTTCTCCAGCAGCTCGCCCCCCTGCCAGAGCCAGCCCCAGGGGCTGCAGTATGCTGAGGATGCTGCAGAGCATGAGAACATGAAGGCCGTGCTGAAGACCTCCTCTGTCGGTGGGGAAAGCACCACGGTGCTTGGGGTCCGCACTCGCAGCCGGGCCAGCCGAGGTGAGTCTGCAGTTTTCTTTTAGCCACATTTTTTGTGGCACAGTAGCCACATGGTGGCCTAAACATAGGTCGTGGCCCCCTTGTATAGCGCTCATGGCAGAAGGGATTGAAGGGCAAGGAGGAGATGCCAGTGGTGTTTCCATGCTGGAAGTGGTGATTTGGGGCACTGGGATGTAGAAGAATTTGCCTGAAGTTTTAACACGTGAATCACAGCCACATTAGTGCCTGGGGGCATTAGGAGTCCAAGCCTGCAGAAATCCTCATCTCTCCCAGCACTGTGAATGTGGCTGCCTGCCCACTAACACTCTAGGTTTTATTCTTGTTCTCATCATGAACGCAAAATGGGGCATCCAGGGAATCCACGATGTGGTTTTCTTTTTATTTTCAATAGAAGCAAGTAGAAAGTAGCAATTCAAATTGAAGAGAAAGATAATTGAAGAGAAAGTTCCTTGCAGCATTTTAGAAATGACTGGGGAGAGGAAAACGGTAGGAAGAAGATGATGAATCTTTTAACTACCTCCCTGCTGAACTGCAAAGGTAATAGCTTAACTGGAGACTAGGAGCAGAAAAAGCTGCTGTGGACAGCCCCACATCTCCTTGCTTCCCTGACAGATACCTCTTTCTCTGAGGTCTGCAATGCTCTGCTGTTTCCAAATGTCAACATGGGTGACTGCTGAAAGCTGACAGGGAGGAAATTAAAACCTGACTCAATCCGCCGATTCCAACACCTGATACTCTGACAGAAGAGCTCTTCATTTAACCAACCACTAAACCACTTCCTTTATGCTAAATCATTTTACAGACACTGGGTTCACCAGTTTATTTCCTTTCGTCTTCCCCTCACCCCCTCCCATACACATGATACCTGGAAGATGGTTCCACTAAAGGCGACTCACCAAAATTCAGGCTGTGGTATAACTTTTCCCTCGCATCTAGATATCTTATACTTTCTTGATTCTTTTTTTGATACCACTGGTAGCACATCCCGAGCATCCACCACTAAGTCTATGTGTGCATAGTTTAAGTCTTGAAACCACAATCCTGTCTTATTTAGAGGTTTCACAGCCCAAGTTTAAGAAGCAAGTCAACTAGCTAAAGCGCAAAGATGAAATAATTCAAGCTGCACTGCAACAAGCGGAATAGCTGAAGTAATCTATTGAATGCTAACAAGCAGTATGTCCTGATGATGAGAGTCAGCTTGTGTTCCCCTGAAGATCAGCAGAGGCAGAGGATGGGTGAGCCAGACAGAAACTTGTCAGGAGCACTATTGTAATACAACTGCTCTTGACAAGAGCCAGGAGACAAGCAGCAGAGCAAAGTGCTAATCAAAGCTGTTGTTCTTCAACATTGGGGATGTGATATAGAGTGACCTTGCCAGTGAATTTTTAGCTGCTTGCAATTCTACCACACCCACTCGTTTACAAAGTTCGCTGTCAGTGTTCACACTGCATACTAGCCTTGAAATCATTTAAAAACAAAAAGCACACAGAACAGTAGTCTTTAGTGGAGGAACCCGAAGATGCATCTGACACAGCTCTGTGGAGTAAGAAGTGCCAGAACCTTGGGTTCAGAGACATGGCTCTCTTGTTTGTTTGTGGTTTTAACCAAAATTGCTTATTTAGCTTTTCAGCTTGCCGACTCTTGCTTTTCTGCTCGTAACAGAGCACACGCAGTTGTGCCAGGACACATACAACTTTATGATGACAAGGTGAATTTTTCATTGTGAAAGGGACAAGACATATCAAACAACACTTTTTGCCCGTTTCGTGTCTTCTTTGCAATAGGCTGTGGAACAGATGCTCGGGAATTGATTCTTCCTTTCTTTTGGTACAGAGAACCTGTCTTGCTGATTTGAATCAATCTCTAACATATGCCATGTCTTCTAGTCTCTGTGTAATAGGAGCAGAGGAAAACATGGTCACACAACACAAGCAATCCTTGGCTTACAGTCAGTCTCTAGCAGACATTTGCCAGTTGCATGGTCAAGAATAAGATTCTGAGGCTGAAGGGAATAGAAAACTATAATTGCATTTGAGCTCTCAACTCTCTGCTGATACAGCAGAGAGTCTAGGGTATTATTTAGAAATATCCTCCATTAGGCAGAGTCTTCTCTTTTGGCCAATTTGAAGTAGCAATGACTGAGCTGCCTGCTGTAATTCCCCCAGAAAACCCAATTGCAAAACCAAAATGACACAAGAGACTTTCTGTCTTCTTTTCCCTCAATTTATTTGCTGGACTTTTCCAGGCCGTATTGGTTCGTGGAATGCTGGCAACGATGATTCACCTAATGCAACGGATGACGCAGCAGATGAGATCATGGATCGCATTGTAAAGTCTGCCACCCAAGTGCCAAGCCAGCGAGCGGTGCCTAGAGAGAGGAAGCGGTCACGAGCAAATAGGAAATCATGTGAGAATATGGCTATTAAATTTCTCAAAATAAGCAAATGTGCAAATACTTAGGTAGGAACCAGACCCTTAGAAGGCAGACATGCATTAGTAGTTCATAGTAGCTTGAGTGTATACTTATGTTTGGCATATATTCCTCTTACTCTTGTTTAAATGATGTTGTATGCAGTGGGTGACCGTCTTCTATAGAACTTGAAATGTCCTAGCAGTAAGAGAAGAATGATTTATGGTGCTTTAGAGCTGATGTTGGTACTTGATCATAACTAGAGAAGTCAGATCAGGCCCTCAAATGGAGACTGCTTAAAATTCTATAAGGTGCTGTGAATTGGCATAGAGATTAATAGTTGTATCTGCAGATAAATTTATTTATAAAGCAAAAAATAGTTTGAGTTTTTCACCTTTTGAAATCATGCTCTTTCATACTGTGTACTATCCTTCCGCAGCCCGGAAAACAAAATGTCTACTGTTGCTTGGCTGCAAAGTGGTTATAGAGGAGCTTAACTTCCACTGGGAAAAAAAGGTCGCACATTTATAAGGTGGTCTTTCAACAGTGTAGTCTGGGCCAGGGCTGAGCTGCAGCACCCAAATCTGAGCAATTTGATTTCATGCTCTAGTAAATACAGTGTTTAAGAGTTGATAATCTTTCTGGGGTTTTTTTTTTTTCCTTATGTGCAGAGACTACTGCAGTTGCTATGAGAAGGATAAGTACCCACAAACCATAAGATTTTAGTGTTTAATGTCATTCACCATATGTGGCTTTTTGACTACCTTTCCATCCATCTTTTTAGCATTTCTGGGAAGTTAGGACAAAGAGGAGACAACAACAGTGAGTGAAAAATCACACAGATTTTTGGTTTTTGTGAAATTGTTCTAACATACTGGGTAATCAAAAACATTTAGTATAAGCAGTGATTGCTATAAGCTAGCATGTGCTGAGAGCATATTCACTTTCCCCAACATGCTAAGAAAGGAACTTCTGCATGTGGCAAGAGCAAAAGCAAAATGGACACCAGTTAGATGAGCCAGACTCTAAGCAAAGAAAATGAACTGACACTGGATTGTCTGTCTTACTTTCCATCGTACACTGTGCCATACCTCTCTGTGGCATCACCTGCTGCTGCTACCCACTCTCCCCACATGGTTCTGGTGTTCTGCACGTGGTGACTGCCCTAGTTAGCTTGTGCATATCAAATAAACCTCCTGTATGTTTGCCTATTTCCACAGTTTATCCCATGCTAAAATATTTCCTCTGTTAGCAACACTACCTTCATGCACACTCACATCCAAAGGTCTTTCTACTTTTTACCAGGTACCTTTTTCCCAAGGAAGCACTTGCTGCAGGGGGAAAAAAAAAAACAAAAAAAAAAAAAAAAAAAAAAAAAAAAAAAAAAAAAAAAAAAAAAAAAAAAAAAACCACCACAGGATAATGATAATAAAAATACTATATATTTTTTTCCATGGGGCTGGCTTTTATATTCAGTTAAAACATTAACAGGGATTAAGCATTCAGTAAATGTTTAGGCTGGGACTTATTTCTGTTGTAATTAATCATGATAGGATCCAGCTCTTTTGCTTGTTTGTTCTTCAAGATCTGGATGAGACTCTTATGTGGATTAAAAGGCAGTTTCAAAACAAACATAAAGTTCAGTAGTTTAGTGTCCCTTTCAGTTGACATTGCTAAAGAAAGTGTGAAGGAAGAATATGTTAACTGAACTGTTTCACTCTGACAGATAGTCAGTATACCTGGATAATGAATAAATGAAGTAGTTTAGCTCTAAAATACACTCAGCTGGACTGATAATATAGCACCTCCAGGAAATTAACAGAGACCAGTCCTTGTCAGTGTATGATGTGAGTTAAATGAGCAGATCTTCCAGTTAGAAATATAACACAAGTCCTCCACAGACCTATTAGAAAGTAGATTTTTAGGCATACTTCAATGATTTAGATTAGCAGATGCTATGATATTTCTTATCTGCAGAGCAAAGAGACCTGATTATCTGATGGGTTTGATTCACCACCTTCAATATTCAGACTCCCATACACATCCTTCGGCTTTTGCCATGAGCTTGGTATTCAATCTATTCATGGACATCAAAGCAAAACTCAGTTGAAATTAATGATTTTCACTGTGGATCATGTTGCATATGCCTCATTGCTTTCAGTGCAGAACTGGAAATCATGTCAGGCTTACTTAGCATTCAGCAAAGATTTTAGTGAAGCTGAGCTATGTGTTTTAAGCAAAATCAGAAACCCAAAAGGTTTATATGCAATTGCGCTGTAAACATTTCCTGTGATTCAGGAAGAAGGTTCTCATGGATGAGGAAATTTTTGTCCATAAAAAAAGACAGAAGGTTGTGAAGTGAAAAGCAAGTGATGCTCAAGTCATTTATAACTAGGGGAAAACAGAAACAGGAGTGTGAAAAAGATTAAGTTAAATTCAAGAAATAGTTGTAATGGGAAGAAGAAACATTTTGATATGTTCATTTGAGCCATTTTACCATTTGTAATTGTTGAGCAGCATGACTGTATCTGGTATGCAGAGAGCTTAGTTAGATCTTAATGATGTAGAGTTCGAACTCTCAGAGTAACCAGCAGAACTATAAATTGGGAGGATGAATAAGGCACTGAGTCATCCAACAAAAGACAGATGGAAATGTCTGTATCTGTTGGTTGAAGATACAAAGGGTCACTGATAAATGCAGATATGACTGAAGTTGACTGAGTCCTAGTAGGAAGGAATTTGCTCAGTGAGAGCTGAAATGGACTACAGAAAGCTAAGGTATGAGGTAAGTGCCAACAGCTGAGTTCCTGTGATGATCTGCAGAGAGAGAACTTAACTCTGTGCTAGACCTTTATATAGTGGAGGTTTTTAAAGATAAAATTTGACATTTAGAAGTAGAGTAACCAGCTGGAAGTCATTGCCTCATGACGAGTATTCAGTGACCTGCCTACCACACATACTGGAGTGGTGTTACATATGAGAAAACAACATTACAGTTGCATTCATTCATTAGAAGCCTCATCAGAAAGCCAGGGGATTGAATGAGCTGCAGAAACTGAAATACTCCGTCACCTGGAAGTGGTCATTCAAAGACATCTTCAAGACAAATTACCATGGGAAGCTTCTGCAATTTTTTCTCTCCAATGTCCTTATCCTGTGTGTAAACAGCAGACCCCAGCCTCTAGACATGTCAGTTCAGCGTATTTTAAAAGCATAAAACACAAATTAGGTTGAAAATACAGTTTCTGTTCTTGAAGACCAAAGGCAGCATTCTCTGAGAAAAGTTTTTGTAACATTATGGGGAGCTGTTCAACTAAGCAAAGAAATAAAAAATAGAATAATTAGGATTGTCTGGTTCTCCATAAGGTCAGGATGACCTTCGCAAATGATGCCGTAACAAACAATGAGTGCAAAGGAAAATTGGGATAAGGAAGTTTTAAGAATCACTCTAGTTGATAGTCCAAATTCCAGTGACTACAATTACTGAAGTTAATTTTAGCAGCTTACAGAACAGTATTACAGGCATTGCATCAGTGGATTTGGAGAAATAAAAATTAAACTCTCTGTATGAGATACCACTGAGATTTCAGAAAACAGTCAAGAAAGGAGGTTATTTAATACAGAGAGCTGAATTTAAAAAAAAATAATGTAAGGTAGATAAACAGAGTTTGCTGTGAAATTTATGAGAAGTGAGGTAATAGAAGAAAATATCTAAAGAATAGGGCTGCTTAGAAAATCCTGTTATTAAATGAGAGTTTCACACCATGAAGAACCAGCCTGTGCCAATTGCTTCAAATTGGAGGAGAAGAAAAACAGGTGTTAAAGCTTTGAGGCAACAGAAGACACATAAAGACTAGCAGTATCATCCATAAGATAAAAATTTTACTTTAGTACATTTAATTAAAAGAACCCCCCAAAACTCCATAATAGACAAACAGAAAGATAATGCTGGTTTCCTTGTTGTCCTGTCTGTTTATTTAAAACATCCATCCCCTAACATAAAATCAATTACTCTCAGGCTTAGACTCTTACAGTGTGCCTTCTCTTTGTCGGTCTCATTGAGCTGAATGGATTCTCAGGAGAATGATATAACTCGGCGTCACAAAAAATCATGCTCCAGTTTAATAATCATGAATAAGCATATAGAAGGTATTTGCACTAATTCTGGCATACACGGAGCAATTCTTGGAAACATTGAGCCTAACAGATTTGATTTCTGACCTCTGTGAATGGCCATGGCAGGGCTCTGAAAAAGGACCAAGAGAAAGTCATAAGGATTCATTACCTTCTTCAGGTGCTGATTAAGGCCCAGGATAGCAAAACCAGACCAGCTGACTAGCAACTACCTTGATTCTAAAACAGGAACCTGCAAGCATCTTCCTCCCTCTTTATGATTTGTTAGTAATAGCAACCTTCATCCTTGAAAATGGGTCTTCTGGCTGCCAAAAGTCAAAGCAGTGGTCAAAGAGTGGCCATCCCAACATGGTCTTGCCAACAGATAATTTCAGATAACTGCACAAAGGAAATAGCTCTTTAAAGCTGGCTTGACTGTACAGCACTGCTTACATCTGGATCTTCAACCAACCCTGAATGGTAAACCATAATGTAGGGCCCAGGTGCGACTAATATTTCATGGTGAGTAGCATGGTGGTGGTTGCAACGTATTCTGTTAGAGACACTGCATGAGGACGTTGCAGAGTGAGAGATTCGTTATTCCCCCACAATGTTTTATCTCAGAGTGTGTACGCTCTTATTTCTCTTAGATTTTAATAAAATTGGAAATATGCTTTAGATTTGAGTTAGAGAAATGGGTTTGGAGCCGATAATAATTGAATCAGAATTTAATCCAATATTTGAATGAGATTACTTGATCAAAATTATTTGTGATGTTCAAAAAGAGAGAGGATACATGATAATGTCTTGTTCTTTTATTAGGCTTTGGAATCACATGTTAACCTAATAATATACCCTGTGACTGACCCTTGAGATATGGAAAT